CAGGTGTAAAGATATGGTGAAAATATAATTATATTCATAACAGGTGTGAGCTTAGGGACAATATACTGTAAGTGAGATTATGACCAGAAACGGATTTTGACAGGAGTGATAATATCTATCAGAAGTAACACATTAAACTAACACAATAACTCCTGACGTGTGCGTGTGTGTGTGTGTGTGTGTGTGTGTGTGTGTGTGTGTGTGAATAAGATAAAGAAGAAATTTTACCCAGAAACCCAATCAACACTCCGAGATAACGAACCAAGAGAGTTGGAATTTTCAAAGGTAAAAACGTACAAGATTTGAGAACGGATTTTGACTCACTCGCTTTCACTGACTCGCAAGAAGGTTTCCTTGGTTAGCTGACTGGTGACACTATACAGAACGAGTCGATACTAACTCGATTAATCTGCTGCCTACACAAAGATGACAGTTATCCATGGTGTGAACACTTTACCGAGACTCGACTGTATCAAAATGCGTCTCTGTTGTCGTCCGTCACGGCGGGAAGATTTGACGTATGAGTCTTTGAGAACGTGGACCCTGGGAAGGTCACGAGCAGTCTCAGCATTATTGATCTGACATCACTACAAATGTCTTTCTCTTTCTCCCTCTTTCACTCTCTTTCTATTTTTGGCACTCACAATGGTATGGCACCCCTGCATGGTATGGCATCAAACGTGGTATGGCAGCCTGTCTGTTATGGCACCCTACATAGCATGGGACACCACATTGTATGGCACCCTGCATGGTATGGCACCTTGCATGGTATGGCACCTTGCATGGTATGGCACTCTACATAGTATGGCACTGATAACCGAAACTGAATCAATGTATAAACTGCATTATGACAGTAAGGTACAATTTTTTTTTAACTTTTCATACAAGAGAATAAAGTAAAGCAACCACTCACCAACACTACTACTTTAACCTGGACCTTGACACACACACACACACACACACACACACACACACACACACACACACACACACACACACACCTACCCCCACGCACGTACTAAATGGAGATGGTTAAGTTTTGGTGAATCAATATTTTATTGGATATATTTATGCGACTGTGTGTGTGTGTGTGTGTGTGTGTGTGTGTGTGTGTGTGTGTGTGTGTGTGTGTGTGTGTGTGTAATACCAATAGTGGTAGAATAAGGTATAAGTATACACAGGATTGATACATACCAGTAGCTAAAACATAATACACTCCTGTACCACCGCCCGCTGCACAGTACACGCTGGCCGGAAAGTTTCTAATAAAAAATTGAAATATGTTGTAACTTTTCACCCGTTGGGATATATTTTTCCTTCACTACACTTTCTTTGTGTAACACACCGTAACTGCCTTAGTCTCTGCCTCTAAAATTGTGAAGTTCCCACCGGGTAGAAAGTTGCCCCTCGTGTGTCTTATTGGTAGAAACCTTTCCTAGCTTTTATCTGCGTCATCCTCGTTCTTATCATCGTCCATATTAACATCAAGCTCATCCCTTATCATTAATGTCAACTTCTTCTTTATTTTATTATCCAAAAAACACAAATTATTCCCCACCACCAGAAAATGAATGAAACCAAAGGTATAACAACACAACGAAGGTGTGTCTAGGGCGGCACCTCAGGGGTCATGCAAGGTGAGCGTCCTCGACTGATCTCTGGGCAGGTACACCGCCTTCCTTCTAACCCGCCGCAGTCATCACTCGACCTGATTTTCCCCTGCCAGGCAAGTGTCGCTGACCCTCTGATCCCCAGGCCATACAGATCAATAACCCCCCCCCCCAAAAAAAAAAACCGAAAACAAACTTCTGACATTATATACAAAAGACATCATTCATACCATGTAACTTTTGACTACAGAGCAGAGAGTCGCAGGACAGTCCGCCAAAAGCCTTCACGGTTCATTAACAACCCCCATAAATTGAGGTCGTAACCCAGGCAAGACACAACCACCGCCTCTCCTACAACCTCCCCCACCGTTCGTAACTGACTACAACTCAGAACGGCATTGATGTACAAGGTTTCATAAAGCTCTGGTTTTATTGTCCTGGCTGATCAGTGCGACACAAAACCACTGGAGGAATATATACTGTATATATACATTTGTGTGTGTGTGTGTGTGTGTGTGTGTGTGTGTGTGTGTGTGTGTGTACAATATACAAGCCCTTTACTCAGAATCAAAACCCACTTGATTCCTGCTCGAGTACTTATGTAGAGCAGTAGAACCCGTATGAGAACTGCTTATAACAGTACTGTGAAGCAGAACCCACTTGAGTCCTGCTCAAGAAACTTACTCAGAAGAATAACCCACTTGAGTCCTTGTCAAGAACTTTTACTCACAAGAAGCAGAACCCACTTGAGTACCCACTAACACCTTACTCAAAGACGTATAAAACTATATATATGTTCACTTCAGGTGTGGTCGCCTGGAAGTGTGGTCACAGTATCTCCTCTTGTCTCTATACATAGTTGTTTGTTTACTATAAAGAGGAGAGATGCTGACTGGCGGGGAGAGTGCGGTAATACCTGTTTTTATTAGAGGGGGTGTGTGAAAATTACGCAAAGCTACAGTACAGACATGAGTACACATAGGAGTACTGACTGAGTACTTTATGCAGTACTGAGTATACCCTGCTTCGGTGACTAGGATAATTTATTTCAATGCTTTTATATTATTATTATTACTTTCATCGTCATCTTCTTCCCCCGCCTTGTTTAACATTTCATCCACCAGACAGTGCCTGTGTTTACATGGCACTGTCTGGTGGGTAGGGGGGAGGAGGGGGGAGATGTGAGGGTCAGTGATACAGCCAGACAGAAGATGCTACCACCACCACTATCACCACTACTACCACCACCATCACACTACTACCCCCAACATCATCACCAATACTACCACCACCACGATCACCACTACTACCACCACCATCACCACCACTACTACTACCAGCACCACCATCACCACCACTACCACCCTTATTTACCACTACACCTACCACTATCTTTCTCTTGTTCTTGGTAATATCGTCACAACCACCGCTACCACCATCACTAATATTACTATTTCCCATACACCCTTATACCTCTCCTACCATCACAACCACCATTACCCCTATCTTGTTATCAGAACCACCACTACTTATTACCATAACCTGTTCGTATAACCACCACTACAACTATTACCATACTTGTTAATTTACTTTTAATTCTCTTGCTACTTTTACTTTCACCACCACCATTAACGCCAGTGAACACATCTTCTTCACCTTTTTTGTCGATGGTTGCATAGCGGATGACTGTCTGATCACTCAACTGGTCGAACAGCTGACAGATGGATGTCAGAAGCTACATCCGTCACCTGATTGGATGGCAGTAGCTGCACCCGTCACCTCCTTGGATGGCAGAAGCCTTCACCCATCACCTACTTGGATGGCAGAAGCTGCGCCCGTTACCTGCTTGGATGAGAGAACTGCACCCGTCAGTTGAATGGATGATACAAACTACACCTGTCAACTGGATGGATGATAGAAACACACCCGTCACTGTCTCCTCTCTGACAAGATTCACCAAGAAGCTCCTGGACAATCACCTCGAGATGGTCTGATGGTACACTGACTTAGCGATGGTCTGTGGTACTGTTTGGCGGTGTAGTAATAGTGTGGCAATTGCAGGGTGGTGTGGTGGATGGTGTAGTGGATAGTATGGTGGATGATGGTGGTGTGGTGGATGGGGTGGTGGATGGTATGGTGGATGATGGTGGTGTGGTGGATGGGGTGGTGGATGGTATGGTGGATGATGGTGGTGTGGTGGATGGGGTGGTGGATGGTATGGTGGATGATGGTGGTGTGGTGGATGGTGTAGTGGATGGAATGGTGGATGGTGTGGTGGATGGAATGGTGAATGATGGTGGATGATGGTGGTGTGGTTGATGGTGGTGGTGTGGTGGTTGATGGTGGATGATGGTGTGGTGGTGGATGATGGTGGTGGTGGATGTGGTGGATGATGGTGGTGTGGTGGATGATGGTGGTGTGGTGGATGATGGTGGTGTGGTGGATGATGGTGGTGTGGTGGATGGTGTGGTGGATGATGGTGTGGTGGATGGTGGTGTGGTGGATAGTGGTGGTGGATAGTGGTGTGGTGGATGGTGGTGTGGTGGATGGTGGTGTGGTGGATAGTGGTGTGGTGGATAGTGGTGGTGGTGGTGGTGTGTGGTGGATGGTGGTGGTGGTGGATGGTGGTGTGGTGGATGGTGGTGTGGTGGATGGTGGTGGTGGATGATGGTGGTGTGGTGGATGATGATGGTGTGGTGGATGGTGGTGGTGGTTGATGGTGGTGTGGTTGATGGTGGTGGTGTAGTTGATGGTGGTGGTGTGGTGGATGGGTGGTGTGGTGGATAGTGATGTGGTGGATAGTGATGTGGTGGATGGTGGTGTGGTGGATGGTGGTGTGGTGGATGGTGGTGTGATCGATGGTGGTGTGGTGGATGGTGGTGTGGTGGATGATGGTGGTGTGGTGGATGGTGGTGGTGGTGGAGATGTGGTGGTGTGGTGGATGGTGGTGGTGTGGTGGATGGTGGTGTGGTCGATGGTGGTGGTGTGGTCGATGGTGGTGGTGTGGTGGATGGTGTGTGTGGTGGTGGATGGTGGTGTGGTCGATGGTGGTGGTGTGGTTGATGGTGGTGGTGTGGTGGATGGTGTGTGGTGGATGGTGGTGGTGTGGTGGATGATGGTGTGTGGTGGATGGTGGTGGTGTGGTGGATGGTGGTGGATGGTGGTGGTGGTGGTGGTGGTGTAGTGGATGGTGGTGGTGTAGTGGATGGTGGTATGGTGGATGGTTGTGTGGTGGATGGTGGTGTGGTGGATGATGGTGGTGTGGTGGATGATGGTGGTGTGGTGGATGATGGTGGTGTGGTGGACAATGGTGTGGTGGATGATGGTGTGGTGGATGGTGGTGTAGTGGATGATGGTGTGGTGGAGGGTGGTGTAGTCGATGATGGTGTAGTGGATGATGGTGTAGTGGATGATGGTGTGGCGGATGGTGGTGTAGTGGATGGTGGTGATGGTGTACCGTGGTGGTAGTGTGGCGATAGTGGTGTGGTAGTGGTGGTGTGGCTGTACCTCGAGCCTCACATGACCCGGCCCGACACACCTTACATGCGTCGTGTGAAGTAATTTTCCACAACCCCTTGAGCTTCCTTACACCTAAACATCACACGTCTTTCCGACCTTATAACTAGTATGTGAAGATCACGAGGTCTTCAGAGTTGGGGAGACGACGGTCAAGTCTCCATTTACCTTAAGTAAAGAAGGATCAGTGTTATATATAAATACATAATTTCACTCTTCGCATCAGCGTCTATGAGGCGACGACACTGTGACAGCCGGTGCCGGGGAGATGGTCTATATACCATCATCTTTTACCTCTCACAAAAGTTATAAAAATTACCATTACACTTTTGCTTTCACTAGTAGTTAATACTGTTCATCTTATATTTGGCACTGCAATACATTCACACAAGATCTTGGGTCACCAGAGTTCACTGTGCACCACCTAAGATCCCAAAGGTTATATTTTCGTTGCTGGTGGCGGCTGAGTGCCACCTGATAGTGGCACTGAAGGCCAGCTCGCCTAAGCGCCCTCACAGTCTTGTCCAGCACACTGTCACCGGCTGTGTGTACTCGCTAGAGGTCCGGCTAAGTGTACACCCTGGACGTGCACACAGGTTGGCTGAAGCAGTCAGTGATTAACAACTCCAAGAATGAACGATTCATTTCATTGTATCCTGGTAAGATGGCAGGTGAGCCCACACTGGTGACCTACCGTCTGCCATCACCCTGGGGGGTGGGAGGCACAGCAGCGCTGTACCATAAGGGAAGCAGCAGCTGTAGTCTTAGAGCAGCTGTAGTCATATGCAGCAGCAGGTGTACTTTAGCAGGAGATCTCGCGGTGTTCCCGCGTCTCGTGGATGATGTAGGGCTCGTGACGCACCTGGACGTTGACGTACTGCAGGGGCGGCGGGATGCAGGGTAGGGCGGTGGGGTCCAGAGGCAGGGTACTGGCGCTACTGTTGCTGTTCGCGCTGTTGCTACTGTTGGTGCTACTGCTGTTGCTACTGCTGCTGTTGTTACTACTGCCGCTGTTGTTGTAACGATGTGGGTGGTAGTGGTGAGAACGTGGGCGGTCCCGCGTGGCGCCCACAGTCTGCATGGGTATCATGGGGTTGGGTTCTGGCCGCTCGCCAGGGCGCATGAGTCGCTCACGGGCCTCTTGTGAGCGCGGGGAGCCGGGGGGTGAAGACTTGAGCAATGGCTGCGTGGACTGAGACTCTGCCATCCTTGAGGGTGTGTGTGAGGGCGTGCGTGAGGCCATACTCGTGGGCGGGGGCACTGGCTTGTTGCGCGGATGGGTGACAGCGGCAGGTGGCGGGGGCTCGTTGGTGAAGCTGGTCTCCCAGGTGGGTGGTGGAGGAGGAGGAGGGGCGGCGTCCAAGAGCCTTTCCATCTGACAGCAGTCTGTGCCAGAGTCCAGAGAGGGCGTAGAGTTCAGTTCAGAGCGAACTGTGGAGAGGGAGTAGGAGGATGGCAGGGGGATCAGGTAGTCGGTGGACGCGGGACTCTGAGGCTCGTCGGAGCGTCGCGATACAGTGAGACAAGAGTCGTTGTCCAGCGGTCGCATCACCGTCGCGTCCCGCTCAGCTGACGGCGGCCGCTGGAACACTGGCAGCACGTGACTCACTACATCCGGGTCCTATAGTGGAGAAAAACACACACAATCCGGGTTAGGTAGTAGAAATATCAACCTCCTCGACACACTATTTATTAACCAACATTATTCAAAAGAATAAGTATCCAAATTTTTTGACCAACTCTAACAGAACAAACACAAGTTCTTAACCACCTCAGGTAAAATACAGACACAAACAAAAACAAAGTAAACTCAGGCGTCGACATAAAATGCATCTCTTCATCTTTGATTCTGTGTTTTAAATTCATGGTTGGCTTGGCCCTCACTTTTAAACCACGAGAAACAAACAAAGGTTCTAAAAAACAAAATAAAAACATCGCGCCAACTTTGAACTTCTGACGTAAACATATATTTTTCTGTCTAACAATCACAGAAGGAAAGAAAAATAAACACCAAAATACTAAAAGATTACCTGAAGATTACTTACTCCATTTTCTTTCACCTAATAATTAAACACCCAAATACTACCTAGGTGAAGTGGGGGGGTCAGGTTAGGTTAGGTTTAGGTTACGCCTAAACTGTACACGAATCTCACTTTATACTTAAATCACCTTCCAAGGAATTCAATTAACACGAAGCTTACCTGTATACAGTATCCGAGCCGCTCCAGTATGGTGGTGAAGGTGGGCCGCTCGTCAGGTATGGGGTGCCAACACTGGGTCATGATGCGGTACACGGGCCCGGGGCAGTTGGTGGGTGGCTCGAGGCGTCCTCCGTTGGTCACTAGCTGCATCACCTCCTGGTTACCTCGTCCTGGGTATGGCATGTAACCCAAGGACATCACCTCCCACAGCAACACCCCGAAGGACCTGTTCCGAGGGTAGAGAGTAAAGTGATTAGTTGTATGTGGGTCGATGGTGGAGAGAGAGAGAGAGAGAGAGAGAGAGAGAGAGAGTAATCTCTTATCGACACACGCTATCGTCCAAGAGTGTACTCCCCCAGTAAAGAACGTTCACCTCAAGACAAAGTTTCTGGTCCTTATCCTCACAAGATCATTCACTGCAGAACAAAAAAAATATCCCCCTTAAAATGGCGCCGAACGTGCATTAAGTCTCTAAGGCCTCTTGTAGGGGTTTTATTATTTGTTCATAAAGGTGAGGGAAAAAATCTCACCGTATGAAAGGTCAAGACGCTTAGGACCTAGACGCTCGGGACGCCATTATAATGTTTCCCATGAATAGATTTTTTTTTTCCGGGGAAAGTGAAAGTGTATGAGAGTGAAGATCTTTTTTTTTTAAGCAACTTTTTTTCGGTGTTATCAAGTGAATACAAGCTTTTAGGCAAGCACTGACTGCTTTCCAGGGCTCCCTTGCTTGTTCCCCTGCCTGCCTATGTGCCTCCCTGCCTCTCTCCCTCCCTGACTCCTTGCTTTAATTATAACAGCCAAAAGAGTTAAGTTTCTTCACGTGACATGGACCGACCGACCAACCAGAAGAGAGAGAGAGAGAGAGAGAGAGACAGAGAGAGAGAGAGAGAGAGAGAGAGAGAGAGAGAGAGAGAGCAGGAAAAACAATCATACAGTATTCAATGTGTTTGTCTGTCAGGCAATTTAAGGTCTTATATCTAGCGCGTGAAAATAAACTATATTTAGACCTATAAATACATGTATACAGAACCTTATATGGCGTTATAACATATATTGTACACTCGCATCTCGTCATAGAGATATATTAGGTGAGAGTTATATTATAAAGGGATAATAATATATAGCATTTAGAAACCTTTGAGAAATTATTTGAAGTAAAACATCATGAGTAGTTGTTTTTGATGACAGCTGTTGTATGTGACGAGGCATCTGCTGTAACGTATTAGCTGCTCTATTGGTTTGTACACACACACACACACACACACACACACACACACACAGACACACTTCCTAAGCCAAAGATCTTAGTAAAGCGACAGGTGACAGCGCTGTTCATGGCGTTTCAGTATCCAGCGGCCAGCAACGATCATGTCAGTGGTGCCGCGAGACTATATAAAATAGCTGGTTTTAGACAGACACCCACTCACACAAACACATTTACAAAAGCCTCTCTCAGCAGGTGGCCGTGGGGGGGAGGGGGGACCAGATAATAAGGCCACGATATAAAGCCTGTTGTTTACATCCTTCACCTCTGTGTTGTCTCACCCCACAACTCCTGTGAGGGAAAACAATACGAGGTGGTGTGTAAGAGAGGGAAGTGCTTTCTTCTCCTCGTGTTTACCTGAATGTGAAATAATACGCTAATTTTGGATACGAATTGATATTATGGCGCCATTATTAGTTACTGGAGCTTTAAAGGTGTTAGTGGTGTATGAGGGATGATCTTATTGTATAGACTGGACTAATTCTATAAACTGAGAGAGAGAGAGAGAGAGAGAGAGAGATACACTCACCAGACGTCAGTTTTAGAGGTAAAGATGCCGTCCAGGAAGGCTTCAGGCGGCATCCACTTAACAGGTAACATAGCCTTGCCACCTTTCCTGTAGTAGTCGTTTCTGTGGTGGAGAGAGGTGGTGGTTAAGGTTAGGTTGGTTAGGTTAGGTTAAGTGTAAAATCGATTCAGCTCACAGTAACCCAACACCTCACCCAGATAACTTAACCTAACCCATGTGTGATGGTACTTGGCTGCCATAAGTGTCAGTCAACTATTCATCAGTAGTGAGAGGTTAGGGCAGTCGACAGGAAACCAAACATACTGGAAGCAGCTGAGGCCCAGACGTCTTATTGACTCTAGAGGGGACACACACACACACACACACACACACACACACACACAGAACAGATTTGACAACACCTGGCCTGGGGGGGTCAGGTGTGTGTGTGTGTGTGAGGGGGTAAGTGCAGGGGGGGGTGACACACCTGCAGCTTTATAAATTTTTGAGACGTTCATAATTATTCTGTTTTCATTGTGAGGACTGACACGTTGGGCGCCTTTAAACCCGGTGGAGGAGGAGGAAGGTGGAGAGGTGGAGGAGAGGTGGGGAAGTGGAGGGAAGGTGAGGGAGGTGAAGGAGGGGGTGGAGGGAAGGTGAGGCAGGCGGAGGGAAGGTGAGGGAGGTGGAGAAAAGGTGAAGGAGGTGGAGAAAAGGTGAAGGAGGTGGAGAAAAGGTGAGGGAGGGGGAGAAAAGGTGATGGAGGTGGAGGGAAGGTGAGGCAAGCGGAGGGAAGGTGAGGGAGATGGAAGAGGGGTGGAAGGAAGGTGAGGGAGATGGAGGAGGGGTGGAGGGAAGGTGAGGGAGGTGGAGGAGGGGTGGAGGGAAGGTGAGGCAAGGGAGGGAAGGTAAGGGAGGTGGAGAAAAGGTGAAGGAGGAGGAGAAAAGGTGAGGGAGGTGGAGGGAAGGTGAGGCAAGGGAGGGAAGGTGAGGGAGATGGAAGAGGGGTGGAAGGAAGGTGAGGGAGATGGAGGAGGGGTGGGGAAGGTGAGGGAGATGAGGGGTGGAGGGAAGGTGAGGGGAGGTGGAGGGAGGGGTGGAGGGAAAGGTGAGAGAGGTTGAGAAAAGGGGAGGGAGGGAGAAAAAGGAGGGAGGTGGGAGGGAAGGTGAGGGAGATGGAAGAGGGGTGGAGGGAAGGTGAGGGAGGTGGAGGAGGGGGTGGGGAAGGTGAGAGAGGTTGAGAAAAGGTGAGGGAGGTGGAGAAAAGGGTGAGGGAGGTGGAGGGAAGGTGAGGGAGATGGAAGAGGGGTGGAAGGAAGGTGAGGGGGAGATGGAGGAGGGGTGGAGGGAAGGTGAGGGAGATGAAGAGGGGTGAGGGAAGGTGAGGGAGGGAGAAAGGTGAGGGAGGTGGAGAAAAGGTGAGGGGAGGTGAAGGGAAGGTGAGGGGAGATGGAAGAGGGTGGAAGGAAGGTGAGGGAGAGGGAGGAGGGGTGGAGGGAAGGTGAGGGAGAGGAAGAGGGAGGGAGGGAAGGGAGGAGGAGGGTGGAGGGAAGGTGAGAGGATGAGAGAGGTGGGAGGGAGAAAAGGTGAGGAGGGGAGGGAAGGTGAGGGAGATGGAAGAGGGGTGAAGGAAGGTGAGGGGAGATGGAGGAGGGGTGGAGGAAGGTGAGGGAGAAAGAGGGTGGAGGGAAGTGGAGATGGAGAAAAGGTGAGGGGAGGTGAAGGGAAGGTGAGGGAGATGGAAGAGGGGTGGAAGGAAGGTGAGGGAGATGGAGGAGGGGTGGAGGGAAGGTGAGGGGAGATGGAAGAGGGGTGGAGGGAAGGTGAGGGAGGTGGAGGAGGGGGAGGGAAGGTGAGAGAGGTTGAGAAAAGGTGAGGAGGTGGAGAGGTGAGGAGGTGAGGGAAGGGAGAGTGGGAGGTGAAGGAAGGTGAGGGAGATGGAGGGAAGGAGGAGATGGAAGAGGGGTGGAGGGAAGGTGACGGAGATGGAGGAGGGGTGGAGGGAAGGTGACGGAGATGGAGGAGGGGTGGAGGGAAGGTGACGGAGATGGAGGAGGGGTGGAGGGAAGGTGAGAGAGGTTGAGAAAAGGTGAGGGAGGTGGAGGGAAGGAGAGTTAAGGTAGTGTTTACCTCGTTGTCTGATATGAATAATTCCTAAACCCTCCCTCCTTTCCCCCCTCCCTCCTTTCCCCCCTTCCTCCCTCCCTCCCTCCACGCTGTGAGAGGCATGCCATGGGTCAGGGAGAGGCGATGAAGTGGTAATGGGGGAGGAGAGAGGTGAAGGGTTATTGGAAGGGGAGGAGTGAAGGGGTAGGGGAGGGGAAAGTGGAGGTGGAAATGAAAGGGGAAGAAAATGAGATAGTGATGGGAAGGAGATAGGAGGAGGAGGAAGAGGAAGGGGATGGATAGAAGACTCCCGTAAATAATAATAATAATTATAATAATAATAAAATAATAACAATTATAATTAAAAAAATAAATAATAAAAATAACAATAATAATAATAATAATAATAATAATAATAATAATAATAATATAAAAATAATGATAATAATAAAAATAGCAATAACAATAATAATAATAATAATAATAATAATAATAATAATAATAATAACAATAATAATAATAATAATAATAATAATAATAATAATAATAATAATAATAATAATAATAATAATAATAATAATAATAATAATAACAATAATACCAATATCAACAACAATGACTAATCTGACAACAGAAAAATCGTCGACTCGTAACCAATCACTCGTCAGGTCATTAGCTGTGAGGATAATGACCGAAAGCTGTTAAAATAATGAATGAACTTACTGACAGACAACCTGAGAGCTTAATACCACCAGTGGGAGCATAATAACAGAGGTAATTTAGTGTCCCTGAAATGGTAATTATAACAGATTATTACACAGGGAGAAATTAGAATAATATGAGGTAGATTAAATTACACAAAAACAGCCGCTCACACACGCACATAGATACATACATACATAATTAATCACACATATAGACAGACACAGCCACACAAGGACACATGCACACACACAGAAATACCCTCCCTCCCCCCACACACACACACACAGAGTAAAACATAACCGCCTTATCGTGGCCAAGTTGAATAGATTAAGTTAAACTGTCGACAAAGATGGTGGCGACTTGATGGAAACATTACTTCACAAACTCTATTAATATTTGATCACAGCTTCCAATTGCGCTCCGGACTAAGCCTGGTTAATAATTCAAAACTGTTTACTTTTCCGATTTGATGGAAGCCGAACACCCGCCCGCACGCCCACTCAACCCACCTGCTTACCTAACCTACCTGTCCACCTAACCTACCTGCCCACTGAATGTAAACCACTCACCGAATCTACCCGCACACATAACCTACCCGCCATCCACTTCATTATGACTACATCACCCGCTGGTAAACACTTGCTTAGCCTGGAAAACTCGCCGCCCACCTACGCCGCCAACGCTATATAAATTATCAAGTACAGGTACAGTAAAATGCTTTTAGTGAGTCCACAGTACCATAAAGGTGACTTAACAAAGGTACTATAGATCAGAGAAAGTATGAAACCTCTGTTTAAATCATAGTGTGTATATTTATGTATACATGTATTCAGTGGTTAATTAAATGTCAACTTCATCTCTATATTTTTTTTGTTACTTTTAGTACTTTCCATAATTGACAAAAAAAAACTAAAAACCAAATGATTTTTTTCAGAAAGTAAAATTTTTGCGGGAAAAACCCCCACACAATTAAAGTCGAGTATTTGAACTATTGAGTGACGTCACTAGAGGTTATCCATCGACAACTAGCATCACTTAACGAGACGAGTAGAACAGCCACACGTCATCACAACAACTACGATGACAGTCAATATAGGAATAAAATAATACAACTTAATAAAGTCTAACCTTAAGAAAACAATACAGTCTATCTTTTACAAACTGTATGTCGTATTATCTATGACGTATGAGCCACAAGTGACCCTCCCATCTCCCACGTTCACTGGTACTGTTTGTGTCTGTTGTCTAATCTCTCCCAGGTACAGTATAGTACTCTAGAGACTCAGTGTCTGTCTCTCTGGCAGTGTTAATTCCTGAATGTCTATCAATGATGCAGATCTGAGAGAGAGAGAGAGAGAGAGAGAGAGAGAGAGAGAGAGAGAGAGAGAGAGAGAGAGAGAGAGAGAGAGTCACCTGCTACACTATCCCCGCCTAGTTACCTGTGATATTCTCTAACAGGTGTAATCCTTCGGCACAGGATGCAGTGAGGGAGTCAGAAGCTGCCGCCACCACTATTAAGCCCCAACAGTTAACTAAATCCTCAAATGTTGGATATATTATGTGAATAAGTCCAGTATTTCTCATGATTTATATTGTATTAAATTATTGTAGGAACTCAAGCCTAACTACACCCACACACCCCGACCTGTACACCCACACACCCCGACCTGTACACCCACACACTCTGACCTGTACACCTCCACACTCTGACCTGCACACCTACACACTCCGACCTGTACACACACACCGACCTGTACACCTCCCTCTGACCTGTACACCCACACACACACCGACCTGTACACCCCACACTCCGACCTGTACACCCACACACCGACCTGTTACCCACACACACACCGACCTGTACACCCACACACACCGACCTGTACACCCACACACAGAACTGTACACCCACACACACACGACCTGTACACCCACACACACCGACCTGTACACCCACACACCAAACCTGTACACCACACACACACCGACCTGTACACCCACACACCGAACTGTACACCCACACACACACACCCACACCGACCTGTACACCCACACACTCCAGACTGTACACCCACACACGCCGACCTGTACACCCACACTCCAGACTGTACACCCACACACACCGACCTGTACACCCCACACACACCGACCTGTACACCCACACACCAGACTGTACCCACACACGCCGACCTGTACACCCACACACGCCAGACTGTACACCCACACACACCGACCTGTACACCCACACACACCGACCTGCACACCCACACACTCCGAACTGTACACACGCCGACCTGTACACCCACACACACCGACCTGTACACCCACACACACCGACCTGACACACACACACCGACCTGTACACCCCACACACACCGACCTGTACACCCCACACACACCGACCTGTACACCCACACACACCGACCTGTACACCCACACACACCGACCTGTACACACACACCAACCTGTACACCCACACCCGACCTGTACACCCACACACACACCAACCTGTACACCCACACACCGACCTGCACCACCTCCAGACTGTACACCCACACACACCGAACTGTACACCCACACACCCGACCTGTCCACACACTCCAGACTGTACACCCACACACACCGGACTGTACACCCCACACGCCGACCTGTACACCCCACACCGCATACACCCACACACGCCGACCTGTACACCCACCTCGACCTGTACACCCACACACACCGACCTGTACACCCACACACACCGACCTGTACACCCACACACTCCGACCTGTACACCCACACACGCCGACCTGTACACCCACACACACCAGCCTGTACACCCACCTCCGACCTGTACACCCACACGCTGACCTGTACCACACACACACCAGCACACCCCACACTCCGACCTGTACACACACACACCGACCTGTACACCCACACACACCGACCTGTACACCCACACACACCAGACCTGTACACCCACACACACTCCGACCTGTACACCCCACACGCCGACCTGTACACACACACACCAACTGTACCCACACACCTCCGACCTGTACACCCACACACGCCGACCTGTACACCCACACACACCGACCTGTACACCCACACACACACCGACCTGTACACCCACACACACCGACGCCACACACACACCAGAACTGTACACCCACCACACCAGACCTGTACACCCACACACGCCAACCTGTACACCCCACACACAGACCTGTACACCCACACACACCACCTGTACACCCACACACACCGACCTGTACACCCACACTCGACACTGTACACCCACACACCGACCTGTACACCCACACACACACTGACCTGTACACCCACACACTCCGAACTGTACACACACACCGACCTGTACACCCACACACATCGACCTGTGCCACACACGCCGACCTGTACACACACCGACCTGTACACCACACACAGACCTGTACACCCACACACACTCCGAACTGTACACCTACACACACCGAACTGTACACCCACACAGCCCTGTACACCCCACACACACGCCGACCTGTACACCCACACACACCGACGCACACCCACACACACCAACCTGTACACCCACCTCGAACTGTACACCCCACACACGCCGACTGTACACCCACATGACCTGTACACCCACACACACCGACCTGTACCCCCACACACACCGACCTGTACACCCCACACACCGACCTGTACACCCACACACACACCTGTACACCCACACACACCGACCCGTACACCACACACCGACCTGTACACCCACACACACCGACCTGTACCTGCCCTGTACACCCACACACCGACCTGTACACCCCACACACACCGACCTGTACACCCACACACGCGACCTGTACCCACACACACCGACCTGTACACCCACACACACCGACCTGTACACCCCACCGACCTGTACACCACACCAACCTGTACCCACACCGACCTGTACACCCACACACCAACCTGTACACACACACACACCGACCTGTACACCCACACACTCAGACCTGTACCCACACACACCGACCTGTACACCACCCACCTGTACACACACACCGACCTGTACCACACGCCGACCTGTACACCCACACACACACCGACCCGTACACCGACACACACCACCTGCACACACCAGACCTGTACACCCACACACACCGACCTGTACACCCACACACACCGACCTGTACACCCACACCACCGACCTGTACACCCCACACACCGACCTGTACACCCCACACACCGACCACCCACCCACCGACCTGTACACCCACACAGGTACGGGAGACAAACTATAACACCCCATCAGTCTCCTCACCTCTGCCACAGTACTTAAGCTTGACTGACTGTGAGGCAGCAGGTCCCAGACAAGTGCTGTCAACCGCAGGACGATTTTTACTGACAACTTGATTACTTCCATCTGCTCCTCTGTGGCTAAGAGGAGCACACAGTCTATGCCACCAGCAGGAGTCTTCTACAAGTGAAGCTATAGACTCATAAGACAGACTCATCTCCCAGTGTCGTGTTTAACGGTGACCACAGACCATGAACAAGATCACCTGACATGATGAATCAAACACAACACGTCTGGGGTTATTTTTGACCTCATGTTAAGGGGGGGGGGGGATTCCACGACAGAACAGCGAGGTCAAGTCTCTATCCTTCAGTATTGACCTTTGACTATTTTTATATAGAGTTACACGAGCTAACATTATCCAGCCCATCAGTCGAGGTCAAAACATGTCCCGTGACTGTTTAAAGTTTAATAAACTCTGACGTTGTTAACATCCTCGGGCGAAAACCGAAAGGTCCCTGACACTCCCGTCATTATCGGAGCCTCGTTCATCCTTCCCACAGTATCTGGCCGAGGACGTTCTTATTAAGTCACTGATAATAGTCTACAGCAGTGGTTCTCAACCTTGTTTGCCCCATGCACCCCTTTCACCATATGTCAGAATGTCATTCCCCCCTCCTTTCCAAGATTGTCTGCCTCAAAAAGTGCATTCCAAATAATATGCATATAATACTGAAAATCCTTTATTTTTTCCATATTAGTACATATACATTGACAATTTTACATGGATTATTTTTATAGTGGAGTTTTACAAATTAAATGCCAATTGAAAATGTTGATGGATTTATAAAACTTGAATAAAAGTAAAATAGTTTTTTTTATTTATAATGAATTACTTAACAGACCAAACTGAAGCATAATGCAATAAACAAAAGTTCAATAGAATACCAGGATATTGTAAATTTGTAATTAATTTTATTCAGATGAAGATTACAGTCAATGAGAAACCTGTGATTGTTTTTTCTTCGCCAATTCTGGGATACGCGGAGGAGTGCTTGAAAGGGCACAACGCAGATCATTTTCTACCTCTAATCTACTACGTTGCTTCGTTTTAATTTGCAACAGAGTTGAAAAGCCTGACTCACAAAGATATGTCGACACAAACGGAAGCAATGCACGGATAGCTCTTTCTGCCACTTTTGGGTAGGAATCGCACATCAAGGGCCAAAATTCTGTGATTGATTTCTCATCGAACATATCTCTTGCTCCAGAATCAGTTTTTCCCCCCCCTGAAAACCTAAATTCCCCCCCTGGGGGGAATTCCCCCCTGGTTGAGAACCCCTGGTCTAAAGCCTTGTGGTGTGTGCGTGTGTGTGTGTGTGTGTGTGTGTGTGTGTGTTAGAGAGGGAGATTTCAGTGCATATGTATTCATGTATGCATATGTGGGAGGTGTCAGAGCGTATGTATGACCACACACACACACACACACACACACACACACACACACATACATGTATGAAGGTATGGATAAATCACGGCCTCTCTCTCTCTCTCTCTCTCTCTCTCTCTCTCTCTCTCTCTCTCTCTCTCTCTCTCTCTCTCTCCTCCTGCTGAAAAATTCTCACTAACAAACACATTCTTTGTCTAGGTGTCCGTCTGAGTGTCTCGCCCTGTCTCCTTCCTCGCCTGTATCACTGTAATACATTGTCTCTGTCTGTCTGTCTGTCTGTCTGTCTGTCTCCTTTATTCATCGCTTTCTCTCTCTCTCTCTTTGTACCTTTATCTTTCTCTCACCGTTGCCTCACCTTTACCCATCTCTGTCTCTAACTCTCTCTCTATCTTCCTTTCTCTCACCATCTCCTTCTCCCCCCTATCTCACTCTCTTCTTCTCTCCTTCTCTTTCTCTCTACTTCTCTCACCATCTCTCTCACTCTCTCCCCCTCTCTCTCTTCCTCTCCCCTTCTCTCCCTCATCTTAATAATCAACACAACGGAAACTACACCACTCAAACCTTCCCTGCGGTAATTAACTCTTAATGGTACGCTTAACCATTACCCATTATCATACATTAGTCCCTTATCTCGGGGATCTGGGGTAAGGGAGAAGAGGGAGGGAGGGAGGGAGGGAGGGAGGAGGAGGGAGGGAGGAGGCTCTCAAAAATCCCAGGTGAAGGTGGGTGAGGGTCAAATGAGGTAACCTCCCCCCCCCCTAACAGAATATGTCAGGCAACAAGTCACATCTAATTATTCAGAGGCAGGTGAGAGCTGACGGATCGCCCCTCGACACCTGAATGACCTACCAAACCCAACACACTAAGACAAAGGAGAGCGAGAGAGAGAGAGAGAGAGAGAGAGAGAGAGAGAGAGGTAATAACATGATTCATCACTGAGGCACAAGATCTTAATGTTCATAATTCCACCTAATAGAATGTAAGACCACACTAATGATACCTTGTTGACGTGAGCATGACCACCCACACACACACACACACACACACACACACACACACTGTAATGAGATGTACGTGCGAAGTTTACAGAGGTGCTGACATGTACACAAGCAATAAAAAAAATTAAGTATTCTCATTTAAAATACAGATACAAGGTTTTTTATGCAGCTTAATAATACGTATTTAGGTTTCAGCACTGCCTTTATACTGTAACCGCGTGGAAATGACTGTACCTGTACTGTATACTTAAATCAATGGTTGAGTGAGTTTGTATGAATGAGTGAGCATGTGAGTGAGAGTAAGTGAGTGAGCTAGTAAATAAGTGAGTAAGCGAATGAGTCACCTTTAATGACCGAGTGAATGACTATCAATAAATTACATCACATTTGGACCAACAGACAGAGACATACGAATAGATAACAAATAAAACACAAAAATTCCATTAGAAATAGTAAACAAAACACACCTGTTAAAAAAGGTAATTAACTCACCTGTAAATATCTCTGGCCATACCAAAGTCGGCTATTTTGACGACTCTGCCGGGTCCCTTAGTGGTGAGGAGACAGTTACGGGCGGCGATGTCTCTGTGGATGAAATGATTCTCCTCCAGGTACTCACAGCCCTTAGCTACGTCCATAGCACACGTGAGCAAGTCCCTCATCATTAGCGCTGAGGGGCGGTCCTGTGTGAGGCAAGCAAAGAATAAGGTAGTTATGTTGTTAGGGGCTGACGAGTGATGTGAGCCATCCATCCATACATACATACATCCATCCATACATACATACATACATACATACATACATACATACATACATACATACATACATAGTCAACAAAAGGATGCAACAAGTGGGAAAGATAGATTTTTGACACATGGATGGGACATGTCTGTCAGTTTCTCTATCTGCTGTCTCTCTCTTTATCTATCTCTCAACCTATCATGAGAGAGAGAGAGAGAGAGAGAGAGAGAGAGAGAGAGGAGCAGGTAGTCTCTTACAAATATTTCAAGAATGTCAACAATGTTAGTCTTGCCGAACTGAGCTGATTTATGAGGTTGCGAAGTTGGCCCTCTCTCCCCCCACTCCTCAACCAACCCCTCTCCCCCACCCACCCCTCTCCCCCACCAACCCCTCTCCCCCACCAACCCCCTCTCCCCCACCAACCCCTCTCCCCCTCTCCCCCTCTCCGCATAACAAGAATATTTACCTTCATAACAGACAAGATTATTTTGTTACACGAGACAACACAAACATAGTATAATATAATAAATGATTTGATATACTTAACATGATAATAGTTTGGGTTTGGTTAGGTTATGTTATGGTTAGGTTAGGTTAGGTTATGGTTTGGTTAGGTCTGTATTTACGAGGAGTCAGAACATAATTACAGTACACTTTTCACCTGTGTTGACCATCTCAGGACACACACACACACACACACACACACACACACACACACACGACAACTTCATCCCCGCCATAATTACATTGCTTAAATTTTTGGTCAGCCTTGGAGTGGTAGGGCTCCAGGGATTATAATGTGCACCAGAGCCCCGCCTTATGTATTAGTCATGCTCACCAGACCAGACAGGACGCATCTCATTAGTAAGTCTCCGTGTGATGTTTTGTAAGTCACTATAGAACACAGCACAGGTAGGACAGGTGGTGGGACAGGTAGAAGGTAGGACAGGTGGTAGAGGTAGGACAGGTGGTGGGACAGGTATAGATTGGACAGGTAAGATGGGGTGCCATGTCAAGGTTTCTGGAGTGAAAAATTGATTTAGGAGTTCTAAATGAATCCAATGAGGACAATTTCTCTCTATCTCTCTCACTTTCTTTCTCCCTCTCTCACTTTCTTTCTTCCTCTCTCACTCTCTCTCCCACTTTCTCTCTCTCTCTCTCCTTCTCACAAGACTCTCGACCACAACACACGATATGAATGCTTTAATCCACTATACACTTCCACAATACACACCAGACGATATCGCTGTGCTCATGAAGGGTCCACCAACCTTTGTTATGACACACGAATACTTTTCTGGGTCTCACAAACACACAAGAAAATATCAAAAGTGGCGGCGTTATTTTACAAGTGTTTCTCAGCTTTCCTAACACCACACTTGGATTACGGTGTTCTGTTTTGGTCACCGGATTATAGTGTGGTTGAAGAATCCCTAAGAAAATATTTACATTAGGATGACAAAGTTAATCCCGGGTATTAGGAACCTTGAGTATAGAGACATAATGCAAACTGGATTAATATTCGCTTGAGAGGCGTAGAGTACAAGGACTAGAGTACAAGTGCTAGAGTACAAAGACTAGAGTACAAGGACCAGAGTACATGAATGGCATCTAATCCACCAATCGGGCCAGAGAACCTTAGTGTCATCCAGTTATGCTTTGAGTCTTAATTTGTCCTGGGGTGAAAGATTACTCTCTCTCTCTCTCTCTCTCTCTGTGTATGTCTCATTTTCTTTATTTTCCATCCAATTTTCTATTTATTTCCTCTCTCTCTCTCTCTCTCTCTCTCTCTCTCTCTCTCTCTCTCTCTCTCTCTCTCTCTCTCTCTGATGGTAATTTGGTTAGCTTGAGAGATTGGTAAGGTTGGACCAGGACAGCCGAGGATTAAAATCTTGTTAGTTGAAGGTTAGACTAGAGTAGGTAAGCTAAGCTAAGCTAAGCTAAGCTAAGCTAAGGTAAGGTAAGGTTAGGTTAGGTTAGTGGATTGGATGGGGATTAGGATTAGGTTAAATGTATGTTTAGATAGGTTTAGGATTGAGTTGCCTTTTATCTAGGGCAGTAATGCCACTATTTAGACTAAACATGTATTGCCTGGTGCACAGGAGAGAGAGAGAGAGAGAGTAATTCATACGCGGGTCTTTTTTTTTTCTCCTCGTCTCTACAAGTGAGGAGAAACACTCAAATATTCACACTGACTGAAGATGACTCCAGCAGGTGTACACGTCTCTTCACTCAGGTACACCAGAGCTCAACTACATGTACAAGCACTCGTGTACACTCTCATAAGCATGCAGCTTCCAAGCGGTTGTTTACATAGTGGAAAAACACACAAAAAATATTAAAGACTCGTGTATGTGCTACTGCAGGCGTGTATACATATTCTTGTATGCATACACAGACCTAGAGACACACACACACACACACACACACACACACACACACATATACACACACACAGACCGCCAAAATCTGTCTGGATATAGTGTAGTTCGAAAAAACCCAACTTGCAAATGTAAACAAATCCAGATTATGCAAAGATAAATCCGGATTCATTGCGTTGTGGCGAAAACGTAAACAGAAACATTAGGCAAGAAAAAATATTACGTCTAGTGTCGCTGAAAATGAGTGAACTGGTTAGAATTTTAAGCCAAGGTTTAGTAAATAGACGGACAAATGGGCGGACAGAGAGAGAGAGAGAGAGAGAGAGAGAGACGCATTAGGGTGGTAGAACAGCCTCGGTCCCTCCTCCCTTCTTCCCTCGCTGGAGAATAACAACACTTGACTGTGTAATGGTCTGTGTGAAGTGTGTGTGTGTGTGTGCGCGGCCAATAGCTCGCTCTCTCTCTCTCTCTCTCCTCCCACACTGACAGGCAATACATCTTCCACAAAAGCTCAATAAATTCATTGTACATATAAATTTAGAAATACAAAGAAACACTAAATAAAATAAAATAATACGAGTAAACGAAAAACAAAATCGAAAATACATGAACGAAAACATAAAAAAAGTGTAAAAAAAATCCCTGAACCAAAATTCTGAATAAAAACACTCCATGGGTTATCTTATAACATTAATAAACGATAATATTAACGAATCATTCAATATCTAAATAAAAACGAAAGGAAATGAACAAATACTACAAACAAAAAACAACTGAAATCATAAACAAACTAATTAAAACTCAAAGGAAAAACATAAACGCATCAAAACGAGTGAATATAAAACAAAACAAAAGAACGTCACGTAAAGCGAATTAATCTGTCAATAGAAAAACGTATAAAAAAGATTGAATCAAAAGCAGGGAGAGTGGGCGAGCTCCAGTGTTGAACTAATGCATCTCACTTCCGAAAACCTGAACAGTTGACAGTCTCCCCCCGTCTCCCTCTACCCCTCGCCTCACCTCCCTCTCGACTCTTCAAAACTGTTCATATATTTTCCCGCCTCCGCAAAACCACAAACATTTTATAAAATTCATTTTACGCCAGCTGCTGTTATATAGGAATTAGTTTATTTTTCATTCAGGGAGGAGAAAAGGTTTTTGTAATGCCGCGGGTCTATTCACATTTCTTCGTCGACCAACATTATTTTTTAGAGCTCAGTTCGTTTATGTTATCAATTTAGGGACGGAAAAATAGGTGTAGGTAGTTACTAGTTCAGTTACAGGTACATTTGAAGGTTATAAAGGTACAGGTGCAAGGAGAGGTACAGGTAGTTACATTTTACAGGTTAAAAATAAAGGTACAGCTGTAATTACTAGTACGGGTACAGTTAGAGGTACAGTGGTAAACAAGAGAGCCGAACCCAATAAAGACACCATAAGCTTAGTTCCATAGTACCATAGTTCCATTACTTCTATTTGTTTCATATTTCCATAGCTCCATTAGTTCCATTAGTTCCATTAAGGGTCTTCCTGTACCGAGTGTGTATTGAGACCATGTTGTAGCGTCCTGAGGAAGACGATCCTCACCTCAGTCCTCACACCTCTCAACTGTTTACATAACCCCAATGTTGATACGACATTACCTGGGCAGTGTGTCTTTAACTCTCAAATGGGAGGCATTAACCCCTTAGAGTTTTAACGAGACTAGAGAGAGAGAGAGAGATCTACACTAAATCTAGGGACAGATTGAGAAGAGGAGAAAGAGGAGGAGGAGGAGGAGTAAGGATGAGGAAGGAGAGGAAAGGGGAGGAAGGAGAGGAAGGAGGAAGAAGAAGAAAGAAGAGGAGGAAAAAGAGGAAGATGAGGAGTGTAAGCAAGGGCGGTGACCAAAAAATCCCCAACACCTGTGACCCACCAAGAATAAACTCCCCCATCCACGACCAGACGATTAATGAGACTTTTGCAACTCGTCTCTCTTGTCCCACAGTTTGGAACCAGACCTCACCTGTGGCCTAGTGATACCAGGGAACTTTATCATCACATTAACCAACTCCTTCACCTGTGATCTTGAGCTAAAAGTTAACCAAGGTACAAAAAAATAAATAATAATTCGCCGTGAACACTAATACACACCTTGAATTATTAATAGACTACAAACACAACTTTAAATACTTTTGTAATTATCTTCCCAATGGTCTAGTTATTTTCCCTGATAAGTTTCGCTAAGAAGTATGGTGGTGGTTGTGGGTGGGTGGTGGTTGTGTGGTGGTTGTGGGTGGGTGGTGGTTGTGTGGTGGTTGTGGGTGGGTTGTGGTGGTGGTGGTTGTGGGTGGGTTGTGGTGGTGGTGGTGGTGGTTGTGGGTGGGTTGTGGTGGTGGGTGGAGTGGTGGTTGTGATGAGCTTTAGTGATGGTTGTGGGTGGGTTGTGGTGGTGGTGGTTGACAGGTGGGTGGTGGTTATTGGGTGGAGTGGTGGTTGCTGGGTGGTTGTAGGTAGGTGGATGGGTAGTTGTGGGTTATACAGGTGGTGGTGGTGCAAATTTGTGGGTGGAGTGGGTAGACATTGGGTGGAGTGGTGGTTGTGGGTGGGTTGTGGTGGTGGTGGGTGGGTTGTGGTGGTTGTGGAGTGGG